GCTTTCCAATATAATATCTATTCCTTTTTTTTATGTTTAACTTTCTTTGTTCAAGACAGTGTTTAGGTGTCTTTGTTCAAGACAGGCATAAAGCAAAAGTCAAATATTATATTAATAAGTATACAATACGAAGGTCACTGTAAAGCTAATGGCAATGAACATAGTAAAGAATAAGTCTATACATACATTATCAAACCACAATAGAAAAACAACACAATGCTTCCCTACCACAATATTTTTCATTTTTCATTCTTTATTTTCAGCAGAGCAGAACTTAACAATGCATATAAACATACAAACCATGTAGGTCTATATATTTTTTTGTATTACATGCCACACTATTCGATCTCGATAGTAGGTACGGTAGATACAAGGAAAATTGGATCTATTGATCCCTCCAAACAGACTGCATCTTCCAGGATCAGACTATGACTATTGACGATCTCCTCTGGAATAATAACACCGTATGTTGGAAAAATTTACAAATTATTTCTGTAAATCCACTGAAGTAGGAGAGGCACAAGGGAAGATTTGCAAAGAATTGCTTGGTATATTTGAGAGGTTTCCAGCCAATCCAAGTAAGGTAGGGAGACTGATTAGTGAAATACCTGATACCTGGTTCAAAGGTCCAGGGGCACCACCACGCTCTGACTTTCTACACATTAACAATGTAGGCATGAAATCATCTCTCATTTAAAATATTCATTAAGGAGATTTTCATATGAGCTCACATGAAAAGCTTCAGGTCTAAGAGAAGGAGATGAATCTGTCATATATGTATGTTATTGTATGGCTCTCTACCCTTAACCCCTTAAGGACTGGACTGTTTTTGCGATGTTGTACATTTGCGACCAGGCATATTTTTACACTTTTTTGGTGTTTGTGTTTGGCTGTACTTTTCCGCTTTCTCATTTACTGTTCCCATACAAATTATATATTGTTTTTTTCAGGAGAAAAGGGACTTTCTTTACATACCATTATTTATATAATCTCATGTATTTTAATTAAAAGAAAATACGAAAATCTGATGAAAAATTGAAAAAAATACATGTTTTTTGACTTTTACTTGAAAAATCTTTTACTCATCTACAAAAGCGAATGAAAAAAACTGCTAAATAGATTCAAAATTTTGTCCTGAGTTTAAAAATACCTAGTGTTTACGTGCTTTTTGCTTTTTTTTGCATGTTATAGGGCTATAGGTACAAGTAGGATATTGCGGTTTCAAAACATACATTTTTAAATTTATCAATAGTGACATTGTAACACTATTATCTGTCATAAATCTCTGAATAACACCCCACATGTACATATTTTTTTTAAAGTAGACAACCCAGGGTATTCAATATGGGGTATGTCCAGTCTTTTTTAGTAGCCACTTAGTCGAAAACACTGGCCAAAGTAAGCATTCATATTTGTTTGTGTGTGAAAAAAGTAAAAAAACTAAATTGAACGCTAATTTTGGCCAGTGTTTGTGACCAAGTGGTTACTAAAAAAGACTGGACATACCCCATTTGCAATACCTTGGGTTGTCTTCTTTTGCAAATGGTATGCCATCATGGGGGTAATTCTCATTCCTGGGCTACCATACGCTCTCAAAGGCAACGTAACCAACCTGGCCATTTTCAATGTAAAAATATTTGACCCATATATTTGACCTTGTAACTTTCAAAAATGCTATAAAACCTGTACATGGTGGGTACTGTTTTACTCGGGAGACATCGCTGAACACAAATATTAGTGTTTAAAAACTGGAAAACGTATCACAACAATTATATCATCAGTAAAAGTGCTGTTTGTGTGTGAAAAATGCAAAAAAGTAACTTTCACTGACAATATCATCGCTGTGATATGTTTTACTGTTTTGAATCACTAATATTTGTGTTCAGCGAAGTCTCCCGAGTAAAACAGTACCCCCCATGTACAGGTTTTAGGGTGTCGTAGAACGTTACAGGGTAAAATACAGTGCTAGCAAATTAAATTCTCTGGAATTTTGGCCTGGGTTGGCAGGCAGGTCCCTCAAATTGCAATCAATAAAATTACTGAATTATGTAAAAATATTACATAAATACGCACGTAGAATTTAAATATATATGCATATTTATATATTTGAAGTCTACGTGTATATTTATATAATTATTTATGTAATTTTGTATATGGACGTATGTATATTTCTTATTATTTTTATTTATTTTTATATACATAGATATATATACAAATTCATTCTAAGTGTATTTTGATATAAATATATATATATTAATTTTAAAATACAGTTAGAATAAAATTTCATATAGCTATATAATTTTTTTAAATTTTTTATTATTATTTAAAAAAAAATATTTAATTTAAATTACTTATTATTTATATTTTATAATAATATATATATATAATATACCGGTATATAGTTATTATATATATTATATATATACGTGTGTAATTTAATTATAAGTGTATTTTTATATTAATATAAGTACATATTTATATAAAAATACACTTAGTATGACATTATATATATATATGATATATAGACATATATTATATAGTTATAATATATGTCTATATATCATATATACACATATATAATTATTATAATTTTTTTTATTAACATTAACTTTATTTTTTTTTACTGATTTTACACTAGCAGGGAGACTGCCTGTCAGCACAGACAGTCCCCCTGCAGGCAGAACTATGGACACCTATTGTGACCATGTGATCGCTGCGTTAAGCGATCACATGGCCACAGGGGTCCTAATCTGCCGTGGGGAGACTGTCTGGGCTGCAGACAGTCTCCCCACAACCGGAGCCACGCTGATCGCCGCCGGGGGAACGACGGCGATCAGGTAAGTAGCTCTGACCGTTAGGACGGTTCAGGACCGTCATCGGTCGGCAACGCAAAAATGCCGATGACGGTCCTGAACCGTCCTCGGTCGGGAAGGGGTTAAGGGGTGGATTCTGTTTCTCAGATTGCTATATAAACCAGGTAATCCTACAGATCAGCGCTTGATTACCGAGTCTGATCATTATACTCAACTCTCCCATTTCTTCTTGTTCATGTTCCTGTCATGACATGTCCCTTGTGGCGCCGCGCGATCACAGAAATTATGGCTCTTCTGTGTTCTGATGCACATCCACTCATCCCTAGTTATCTGGTGCCTAATTATGACATCATATATGACATGGAACCCTTCCATTGGTCATATATATGTGTCACTTTTTGATGTATACACACTTATGACATCATGGTCCTCTGTAGCCAATCACAACCCAGTATAGGATATATATATATACACCTTCTGGTTGTCCATATTTCACTGCCCTGCTATGGTTGTTGCCTCAGAGTGTGTTTATACTGTGTATTGGATTTACTGTTTTCTGTCCTCTGGTTGTTTGACTATTCTTGCTCTCTTATTCTGACCTTGGCCTGACAATCGATCCTGTGTATTTCTGTTATCTCAGTCTGTCTCTCATTTATTCTGTTTGCCTGCAGACTTTACATTTTAATGTCTCAGGCACTGTCCCAGCCACTCTAAGGACTGGTACGTGTTTCTTTACAGTTTCCTTTAGGTTTGCGTGTTAGGGTATCTCCATTCCTGACACAGACAGACGTGAGCCCCGCCTTCCTTTACTAACTCAGTTTGTTTACCCACGTGTTCCTGAACTCCATTTGCCTCCTCAAAACCTTCCCTGAATTACTTGATTCTCTCATACTGCTTTAATTTGGACTGACTAACCAGGTACAACCTCCTGTAAAGTTCCAAGGATCTCTTGTCAGTAAGAGTAAAAACATACATACATACATTCTGACTGACATACATCCATACACACATACACACAGACATACGTTCATAATGATATGCAGACATACATATATACATACATAATGACATACAGACATACATTGACACTGGCATACATAAATATATACATACATACTGACAGACATACATGCATACAGACATACATTATGACACACATTGATACATACATTCATAATGACATACATACATACTGACAGACATCCATACATATATACATTCATACAGACACACACACACACACCCAGCTCATTTTTCATCCACCCTCCTGTCTCTTACCTTTTCGTTGCAGTAGGGTGGCTGGAGCTGATAGGAGTCGGCACGGCTCTCCCTCACTGCCTTGCTTGCGCTTCTCCCGCGCGGAGTGAGCTGGGAGGAAGTGACCACTTCCTCCCAGCAGCACTTGCTGCGGCTGTGTTTTTTTTTTTTTTTTAAAAAGGGGCCCGGTCGCGCTATACCACGGCCACATCGCTGACCGGGCCCCTGAAAGTATTGGGCCCATCGGGTGGCAACTGCACCGGCAGCAGTTTCACCGCTACACGTGGGGCTCGGTAGGCCGGGTCCCCCAGGGCCACTGGGCCTGTGACAACCATTATGGTTGTCACCCCTGATGGCGGCCCTGCATTGCTTACCTAGATTTCAGTAAGACATTTGACGCTGTCGCACATAGAACGCTTATCAATAAACTGCAATCTTTAAGTTTGGATTCCAATATTGTTAAATGGGTTAGGCAGTGGTGGAGTGACAGGCAACAGAGGGTTGTAGTCAATAGAATATATTCCGGGGGCAGAGCTTAACCACCGAGCCACATGGATGCCATCTCTTAGAGCTCCTCTGGGTCAACGGCTAATCTAAAGCCATCTAGGGTCGCACAGCGCCCCAGACAAACGAGCATAGCACCCAAACTCTCCAGACACGAGGGGACACCCACTGATGCCCTTCTTATTCGCCCAAAAGGGCAGAAACACCAGCTGCAAAAGTCGGGCCTACCTTGCTCCCTCACCAGCAGAGGCCTCAAGGCTGTCCTGGCAGCTACTCCAAGACCTAGAGTACCAGTCACCATAAACACACGAACAGCGCTTACCTGCAGACAACGGTATGGGGAGGAGAACCAAAAAACAGCAAGCAGGAGCTCCCAAAGATACCCGAAACATTGGGACCCTGCTCCAGTGCCCCGCAAGCCACAAAATGGCAGCGGAGCCCGACCCAAAGACCGGCTCTAACAGCTCGGCGATGAGCCTTGAGGACCATGGAGAATATCAGCGGCCCCAACCACAACATGCACAGCAAGTTGTGAGTGATGATTTGGCCCCAGCCACTAAACGCGATATCCGACAACTCCTGAAAGAGATGAAATTGATATTTGACTCCAACCTGGTCTGGACGGAGATACAAGCCGTGACCACGAGAGTTCAGGCCACAGAATATGACCTCATGGACATACGCCAAGAGGTGAATAGCATGGGGGTCACCCTCCTCCATCTACAATTTGCTAACACAGTAGTCCAAACTAAACTAGACACCATAGAGGACCGCAGCAGGCAGAAAAACATAAAAATCCGGGGGATCCCAGACACTATAGGGCGACCGAACTACCACACTATTTGAGACGACTCACAGCTGAGCTTCTGCCACACACACAGGCCAAAAAATGAGTTTGATGGACAATTCCGAATTAACAAGGCCAAACAAGCACCCATAACAGCCCCAAGGGTTGTTATCGCGAGATGCCATTCTCTGCTAGACAAGCGTTGCTTACTAACGGCAGTACAGACCCTATACACTTTCGAATCCAGCCAGCTCACTTTTTTTCAGGACATTACCCGCAACACACTACAGTGGAGAAAATCGCTGGTGCAACTCACCACCCAACTCTGCAATGAGAAAGTGGAATACAGATGGCTCCTGCCTAGGACCCTAGCGGCTACTCGGGACAATGTCGTTCGGAAACCTCATTATCAGAGGTTCCGTCCTTCCTCCAATTGCTGGGCCAGCGCAGGGGGCTACGACCCTTTCAACGCCACTACTACCACACACTTTGGACCCTAGCAGTACTGACCCATTCATCCCACGAGGAGACAAGAAAAAGGAGGCAGTTAGATGAATCTTGTACAAGCAGTAGAGTCATCCTGCACCTAACATTATAGTTTAAGTTATATGCATGTTGCGTTTATTTTTGTTTAAGTTGCTACTTACCAGATATGTCAATTTGAACCCGTAGACAAAAGGGACCCTATTAGTGGGCCTCACCTCTCTTACCAACGACTCAAGAGCGAGCAACCTAGAGTCCCCACTCCATGGCCCCCTAAGGTTTCGGGTCAGAAATAGTAGGCTGCACAGCATGTAGTAAACAAACCCACACACCCTACCCCAGCAAACCAGACAGCAGATAGGGGCACCCACCACCGACCCATTCTGACGGTCTCCCAGTTAGACAGTCAGGACGAGACAACTCACTGAGAAATGCCATATAGGCAATTTAAGCCCTCTACCCCCATGGTCCACACTCCTTCAGTCAAGCGGCAGGGAGGGCAGGGTGTTACAATATAGGACAATGCTTAAAGGACCATTATAGTGCCAGGAAAACAAACTCGTTTTCCTGGCGCTATATGGTCTTTAGGTCCCCACCCTCTGGGTCCCACTCCCGCCAGGCTCTACATATACACTGGGGACTCTCCTCCCTCTTCAACCGAATGTGCATGCGTGGCAAGAGCTGCGCGCATTCAGTCAGTCCATAGGAAAGCATTTTCAATCCTTTCCTATGGACGCTGGCGTCTTCTCACTGTGAAAATCACAGTGATAAGTGCAGAAGTGCCTCTAGCGGCTGTCAATGAGACAGCCACTAGAGGCTGGATTAACCCATATGTAAACATAGCAGTTTCTCTGAAACTACTATGATTACAGCAGGCAGGGTTAACCCTAGATGGACCTGGCACCCAGACCACTTCATTGAGCTGAAGTGGTCTGGGTGCCTATAGTGGTCCTTTAATTAACACATAAAGCCATACCTAGTCTCACAACAAAATCAGAACCTCAACTGACACTACCTAGTCTGATTGTTTGTCTATAATAAAAAAAAGGGGTGCACAGTATTCTCCAATTTACTGTTTTATCAACCTGTCTTGCAACCGACGTTTGTTTCTTATAATCTATCACATACTGGCATGTATATCCTTTTATGCACTGCAAAAATAAAGAATTATAAAAAAATAAAATAAAGAAATAGGATATATTCAAAGCAAGGTCTTATTACCAGTGGGGTACCTCAAGGATCTGTACGTGGACCTATTCTCTTTAATATTTTTATTAGTGATATTGCAGAAGGTCTTGATGGTAAGGCATGTCTTTTTGCTGATGATACTAAGATATGTAACAGGGTTGATGTTCCAGGAGGGATAAGCCAAAAGGCAAATGATTTAGGTAAACAAGAAAAATGGTCAGAGCTGTGGCAACTGACATTTAATGTGGATAAGTGCAAGATAATGCATCTTGGATGTAAAAACCCCAGGGCAGAGTATAGAATATTTGATAGAGTCCTAACCTCAACATTTGAGAAAAGGAATTTAGGGGTAATTGTTTCAGATTACTTAAAAGTAGGCAGTGCAATAGATCAGCAGGAAATGCTAGCAAAATGCTTGATTGTATGGGGAGAGGTATTAGCAGTAGAAAGAGGGAAGTGCTCATGCCATTGTACAGAACACTGGTAAGACCTCACTTGGAATTGTACGCAGTACTGGAGACCATATCTCCAGAAGGATATTGATACTTTGGAGAAAGTTCAGAGAAGGGCTACTAAACTGGTTCCTGGATTACAGGATAAAACCTACAAGGAAAGGTTAAAGAAACTTAACATGTATAGCTTGGAGGAAAGACGAGACAGGGGGATATGATAGAAACATTTAAATACATAAAGGGAATCAAAACAGTAAAGGAGGAGACTATATTTAAAAGAAGAAAAACTACAACAACAAGAGGACATAGCCTTAAATTAGAGGGGCAAATGTTTAAAAATAATATCAGGAAGTATTACTTTACTGGGAGGGTAGTGGATGCATGGAATAGCCTTCCAGCTAAGGTGGCAGAGGTTAACACAGTGAAGGAGTTTAGGCATAAGGCTCTCCTAGACTTAAGGTAAGGCCAGGGAATAGTGAAAATATGAAAGTATTTAGAAAATTGGGCAGACTAGACGTGCCGAATGGTTCTTATCTGCCGTCACATTCTATGTTTCTCTTCACTTTGGATATACCAGATTTGACATATTGCCTTGTCAAAAGGACTACCATACTCTCTTGATTCAGATTGATTTCCCAGCTCTGACCAAGGACTTTGTTTCACGATTTACCCTTCATTCATCACCGATGTGCTACATCACCTCTTGGAATACTATCCCCATTTTTGGACGATTACATGGCACTGACATCTTGTTAAACAAATTGTTCACTCAAACTGGCTACACAGCACAGAACCTCTGCTTTGTTTAATGGACGTGGAACTCCTCAAACTATCTAACAAAATGATTACTAACTCCCTGCATACATTTCTTGTGTGAAAAATATTATCTGTTATGTGAAAGTCAACCTATTATCTTCTATGTTTACTCATAATTTAAATTTGCCTTAGTCTTTCATATAACTCGTTTCATAACAATTTCTGGATGAGCTGACAGAATCTCACAATTCTGGCAAATAAATATTGCGTAGAGAAGGGTCTGCTGAAAATGCTAATCAATCTCTGGAGCAATTCTTATAACTACTTGTTTTAACTGCCAATATGACTGATCAGACCTGTTACCCTTGGTGAAGTTCTAATCATAAGCCATTCTCTTTGAATAATGGTTTTCACTCTTCTACTTTGCCAACTTTGCTTTTGATGGACATCCAACCCCTTTGGTACAGACTATCTTGGAAGGTACAACTGAGCTTTAAAATAAGTTATCTGTAAGTAAACACGGAACTGCTCCTGTCTTTCATAGGATATGGTTTTCTATGTAATAAAATTGTCTCCAAGTGCCATTGCATAAGTTGGTCCCTCATTGCCCTGGCACATAAGTCGTCTGTTAACATAGAAGCAATGTTTTACCCTCGGCCTCGAGTATAATAAATATCTTCTATACATCATTTTTGAAGTATCTACGTTGTGATAGAGATGCTACTTCTAATACAATCCGAGACCCTATCTGTTTTAAAATTACAGAATGATGTAATGTACAATTGACAGTGGATTAATTGAATTAAATAATTAAATCACCCGATAATGGAAGGAAAAGTGGCCTGAGCAATCGATAAAATTAAAAAAAAATAAAGCTCCCGGGCCCGATAACTTTTTCTGGAATATTCTATAAAATTATGAAAGAAGATCTATGTATATCTTGCAAACCTATTTAATTCTTTTTCAGAGACCGGTGTTATTAGTGCAGACTTATTACAGGCCAACATAATACCTTAATTGAAAACTATCGCCCTATATCACTTATTAATGCAGATATTAAGTTATATTCTGCGGTTCTAGCTGAAAGATTAAAATCCATTATCCCATTTATAATTCATCCAGACAAAACTGAATTTGTTGTTGGTAGACACTCTTCGGACAATATAAGAAGAGTGGTAGACCTGATAGACCTGATGAATAATAATATATCCAACTATCCTGCTCTCGCTGGACGCAAATAAAGCTTTTGATCGTGTAAGCTGGAATTTTATGTCCCAAACATTGATCAATAGAGGCTTTAGAAGATTATTTTTTTTAGAGCAATATCTGCCCTCTATACTAATCCTTCAGCCAGGATTATTGGCTCAGGGATTATGTCTTCCTGGTTCAAGGTACATAACGGTACCAGGCAGGGATGCCCTCTCTCCCCTATGCTTTACATTCTTACATTAGAACCTCTAGCGCAATACATCAGAACAAATGTAAATATTAGGGGAATACAATATGACCAGAGAGAGACAAAAATAAACTTATATGCGGATGAAATCCTATTGACTTTAACAGATCCGATAAGGTCATTAGATTGCCTCCTCCAGGAAATAGATTCATATGGAAAAATGTCAAATTACAAATTGAATACATCAAAGTAAATCATTATGTACTGGAATTTAAATAAAACTGCGATGGGCTTAATGCAAAGAGAATATACTTTTAAATGGGAAACAGACGGCATTGAATATTTAGGTATACTCCTTACCTCTCATATAAAAAAACATATATAAGGCTAAATGGGAGGTTCTCTTTAAACAGACCACCAGAATGTTTGAGGAATGGAAATCTTTAGAAATCTCATGGATGTGACATAAAAATATTATAAAATCTTATGTGCTCCCAATATGGAATTATATGTTCGGAGTGATCCCCATTTATCTATCTAAATCGATATTGCTTAAAATCCAGAGAACTTTCTTAAGATTAAATATAGAAAAAATACCAAATGCTCCCGCTGAGCATTTATTTGATCCCGAGGAAGGTCCTTAAAGGACTGAAACGTTGATCGCTGTTTTTTTAACCCATTTACAATAAATTTTGACTTTTTATTTACCGTGAGTGCAGCTACCTATTTGGATATATATATGTGTATATATATATATATATATATATATATATATATATATATATATATTCAGGGGGGAAAAACAAGAATGAAGAGAAAGATACTTGAGAAAAAAATTGATAGAGGAGGCCTAGCTATCCCTGATTTTAAGAAATATTATGGTGCAGCTCTGATTAATCACATCTACAAATGGTTCAAAACAGAAAATAAAGACACCTGGTATTATCTTGAAGAATTTATGTTGGGTATTTCTGACCTTTCGGTGCTTTTATGGGTTGACCCAAAAAAATTTCAGTTTTGTTACGCTTGTAGAGAAAAAGTGCGAGAAACTTTTTTTTTCTGGTCAAGTTTTAAAGTTTTGGACCAGATTTACGAAATAGTATAATATAATATGGGACTACAGTATTAGGGCCAAAAGTAATTTGAGTCTGTTAGAATACAATATGGAGGATATTAATCTATCGAGGTGGAAAAGAAATGGTATAGAGACTATAGCGGACATTTA